GGCAGGAAGTGGTTGGCAGCTTGGCGCGCGATGATACCATTGTGGGCAGTTCTGAGGAGAAGAGGAATTACGTCAAACATGTGACCCAGGAGCTCGTGCTCGGGAAGTCGCTGCTGCAGCAGTGAGCGGGCTGAGCCACCGCGCTGACATGGCGAGGGGGTGGGGGTGGTTGGGGGCAAGGGAGGGGGCAGTAATACAGCGCCGGCCGTGGTCGCGCTTGCGTGACTGTTTGCGTGCGTGCGGCGGGGCATGGCGTCATGTGTGGAGGTTTTCAGAGATATGGTGCTGTCGGCATCGCCCGTCGAGAGCGAGCGCGCGGCGCCATGCCCCGCCCCGCTTCACTGCACGACGCAGGGCCGCTGTGCACGAGACAGGCGCGTGCGAAGCTGGCTGGGAGTCCGAGGTCGGCTGGCGCGTCGTGCGCGGCCGCGACGAGCGCCGGCTGCTTGACGCCGCGGCATCCGCAGTGTCGGAGGCGCGGCGGCGGAGAGGCCGGCAGGGCGAGGCGCGCCCAGAGGGTGGGGCGGCGGGCGTGGCAGGGACGGGCCTTCAGGAGGTGGAAGAGGAGGAGGCCGAGGCGCAGAGGCGCGCGGCGCGAGCGACGCCGTGCCCGTTCTGCGCGGAGGAGCGGGCCCGCGCGGCTGGCGGCGCGAATGGGGGCGGCGGCGACGACGGCGGCGCGGCGGCAGCGCTACAGGACGACCCCCGCTCGCCCTTTGCGCTGCGCCGGTTGCTGTGGCGCCTCTTCTGCAAGCTCAAGCCCACTGCGGCCGCGTGGTGGGAGCAGCACGCGCGGATGTGCCCCCACAGCAGCGACATGCGGGCGTGGCGGCTGGTCGCCTTCTCCCTGCGGCGCACGCTGGTGCCGCTGCCGCCGCAGCTGCACGCGCTCGTCGGCGGCCTGGCCAGCACGGAAGAGTCATTCGTCCCTCACTCCTACGCAGCAGCGGTCGAGTCGGAATTTGCAAAGGTTAGTCATCCGAGCGGCGCCGCCAGCAGGCCTGCTGATGGCCCGAGAGGGCGCGCGTGCGCCGCTCGCCCCGGCGCGTCAGGCGGGCGCCGCGCCGGCCGCCTTGCGACCAGCTGTATGGTTGTGCGCGTGCGCCAGAACAGGCCCCCGCTAGCCTGCGTGGCGGGCTCCCACTTTCGAGCTGCCTCCGCTTTTCCCCCTGGACCCCTTCGCCACACCCGCGCTGCCACACGCCGCCGCCGACCCCCTCTCCACTGCCCCCCCCCCAAACTCGCCCCCGCGGCAGGCCTACACCCCCACCCTGCCTGTCGCCGCGCTGCACGCTCTCCTGGCGCTCACCGCGCACGCCCCCACGCCGCCATCCCACGTGTCGCCGTGGGACGCCCCTTGCGCGTGGGCGTACCGCCCCGTCGCGGCGGGCGCAGCGCTCTCTGCGACGCTCGGATTCGAGCTTGGGGTCCTGCGGAGCGGCCGGGGCTCTCTTGTCAATAAGCAGCTGCAGTATGTGCTGGTGGTGCTCGGCCTCGTACGCCCGCCCCGCCACTGCGGGCTATACCACGGGGCACTGCTGGGCGTGCTGCGCGGCGAGGAGGGCGGCGGCAGCGGCGGCGGCGACGGTTGGGACGGCAGGGAGGAGGAGGAGGAGGCGGCGGTGAGGGCAGCGGCATTGGAAGGAGCAGGGGCGGGGGCGGGCGGCGGCTGCGACAAGGCAGGGATCGGGAGGCCTGCGGATGCGGCGGGGCCGTATGCAGATGCGGGGCGGCGCCTGCGCGCGGCGGCGTACGCGGCGCGCCGTGCGAAGCTGGAGCCGGATGCAAGTTTGGCGTTCGAGCTGGAGGGGTCGCCCCTGCTCGGCGCCGTGGGCGGCGCCTCTCCGTGCGCGTACAGTGAGCTGTTGGCGGCCGAGTGCCGCCGACACTGCTGGGGATGCGGCTGCCTGGTCAAAGCTTTGGAGCCGTGGGTCTGTGGCAGCGGCGGCGGCGGCGGCGGCTGCGGCGCCGGGTGCTACTGCAGCGAGGCGTGCGCCCACGCCGACCGCAGTGCGCACGCCAAGCTGTGCGGCGTGCTGCGCGCCGCGCGCGCGGCGGGGCACCCAGGGCGGCGGCTGGTGATGGAGGCGTTCGGGGTGACGCCAGGGGCGGTGGCTGCGGCGGCCGCGGCGGCCGCGGGGGCTGCGGCCACGGCAGCGGCCGACGAGGGGGCCGCGTCTGCAGGGCCGATCTGGTTGCGCCTCGCGCACGGTGGTGGGGACGTGGGCGGCCGCAGCAGCAGAGGGGCCTGCGAAGGGCCGGGGCAGCCCCTGCGGCAGGCGGGGCAGGAGGCGGCGGGCGTGGGATGCTAGGACAGCTGGCCGTGCCGCCTGCACGTCACGGCAGGACGTGGCCAGGTCCAGCGCTCAGACCACAAAAGTCCGTCTCGCGCATGCGGCACTGCAAATGCAATTCAGCGCCCGACGTTGTTGGAGGCGCGTACGGCTGCACCGTCCCACCACACCAGTCCCGCCTGCGCTGGACACACAACGGCATCCACCCAGACGCACAAATCGCAAGCTTAAGACCCTGGGAAAGAAGCTGCAAGTGCTGTGCTTGGAACTATTGCTGCAAGCGGCAGCAGTTGTGGGCACCTGTTGCACACATCCGCCCCACGCATCACACTGCAGACGCATACAAACAGGCCCAGGATCTCAACAGAGTCTCAGGTTTCCAGACATCACAAATTGCGCCAGCAACCCAATTTTGCCCCATGTCAAGCGTGAGCAATCGCGACACCAGCAGCAGCTCCACCGCACCAGCAGCAGCAGTTGACCGTTTCCTGTTACTGCTGGTGACGTGGACGACCATGTGCTTCAGGTAGGTGGAATGGGGTCATCTCATTCACATGCAGTGTGATATCATTCAACACCTGCTGCTATCATCATGCTTCGTTCTGGAACAACATTCGAGCGTCCAGATGCGGAGTCAGGACTGATCTGGGCACATTGGCTGTTGGTTTGATTAATCCAATTGCGCAGCATCATACATGCTGCACATTTAAACTCTGGTGGAGGTCCAGGACAATGGACGAGCGGGAGACAGCAGAAGCGATTCGACGAAGGCACCGCTGGCCAGCCATAGATGGTTTTGAAAGGAGCGATGCCGGTGATACATTCCTATTGGTGAGTTATCCCGTTGCTTGACGTGTGCTGGCACGCGCAACACCACGGCGCGAGCATGACACTGCAAGCGGCGCACACAGTGAGCAGTGAACGCGCTGCGCACCCCACTCTGATGCGCTCAGTTCCAGTCCGTCGTCAAAAAGGCACGGGGAAGCAGCGTCACCGCACCGGCCGCCACACCTGGGCCACCCAGCGCAACCGGTGATGGCACCGAGCCGCCAGCCGCCCTTGCGAGTGGCGCCGGGAGCTGCGGCATCCTGGACCCGGGCGCCTTGTATGAGTTCAGGAATGCAGATCGGCTGTCGTCGCAAAGGGATGGGAAGGAGCAGCAGCTACTGGATCCGCATGCCAAGTACTCTGCCGACAGCTGGGAGGTCCGACACGTGAGCGTTGGTCGGGCCGGATCGGTCAAAGATGAATGAATCCGGTCAAACATGATCGAGCAACCACCGGCGGTGCTGATGAGATGGCAGAAAACAGCAACTGCCAAGCGTGCGCTTTGATTAGTGATGGCCGCATGCCCTCGCTTACGGCTGCGGCGCTGAGCCTTGCAAGGGTGCAGGCTTCGCCGCAGCCGGGGCGCCGTTGCGACGCCCGCGCATAGACAGACAATGTCACTGGCCATGCACACACACACTGCAGTGCGCCGAGGCCGTGCGCCTGGTACACTGGCAGCTGGCAGCCCCCACCGGTTTCGAGGGCCTGGTGGTGTCGCCAGAGCTGAGGCGGCTGGTGGAGCAGGTGGGAGCCGCCCCAACCTTTGACCGCAATTTTGACTGCTCTCTGCAGAGTGGGTCCGCGCCCTCAGTCGTTTGACGCGGCTGTGCCGATGCTCATCGTTACCGAGATGCAACAGCGATCACGCCATCTTGTTCTAGGGAGTGTGTGTCTCTTGCGAAGCCTGCAGCACACAGCATGCGGTCCCACTCATCCCTTGTGGCTCGCTGCTTGCTCTCAGCGTCTGCCACGGGTCCCTTTCGTTGCTCCCGCCCCATCAAACACCAAACCCCCCAGGTGCTACCCCAGGCGGTCCAGGCGATGTGCTGCAAGGAGGTGGAGGCGGCCCCAGTGCTGACGCGCCTGAGCGGCGTGCAGCGCCTGGGGCTGCTGTCTGAGGTGGCCGGCTGGGTGCTGTGCCCAGAGTGAGCGCGGCCGCCGCGAGTTTGGTGTGCGTGTGGGCGCTGCTGTCGACGGCGGGACGGGAGGCGGGCAGCAGCAGCAGCAGCAGCAGCAGCCGTCGCAGCAGCAGCACCAGCAGCAATACCGCAGCAACAGCAGCTATGACGCCCGGCAGCGCCAACAGCGCCCCAGGCCGGCACCCTGCAGCGGCACGCCTCGTCTCACCTTCCTTGCGCCCAAGCCCGCCGCCGCCGCCGCGCCCCCCACCCACTCTTGCCGCCACAGCGACTACCCGCAGCCGCCATCCTCTTTAGAGCACCTCGACGTGCTGTTCTCCCTCATACGCCTGGCGGGCAGCCTGGCGGAGGACGAGGCAGCCAGGGACAAGAGCTACAGGAGGGCCGTGCAGGACCAACTGGAGCACATGTCGCGGCACCGTGGCGGCTCCAGCAGCGACGAGGATGAGGAAGAGGGGGATGGGGAGGGGCAGGGTGAGAAATCGGGCGGCGCCAGCCGCCGGGAGGGGCGGCCCGGCGGCATGCGGCCGCCGCGCGCCCGGCGGCCGCGGGTCGTGCCGGTCCTGCGGCGCCGCGTGGCGGAGGCGGCCATGGAGAAGCTGCTCGGGCTGCCGAGGCCCGCGCCGCCGGCGCCGCCGGCCGCGGCCGCGGCGG